GATTAATGAGGATGGGGTTTAGGCATAGCCCAGTGTTTAATGTGCTTGATCTGTGAACGTTTCATGTTGCCGCAGAAACGCACTCCACATTTTGAGGTTGTAGATGCGCTATAAGAGGAATAGTCAAATCTCACTATTCGGTCATTTAATAGTCACCCAAAAATGGATGGTGAATGCTGTTGACCAACTGCCTATCATTTCGAAATTAGGGAAGATTATGCCGCCAACTAGAATATGATTTAACTCTGTTAAAAGGTACATCTTATAATTTAACATAAGTAATTACATCAGTATTATTTCGTCGACCGAAGATACTAGGCTAGCTTCAGTAACTATAGGAAAAGTCTTAAAAAACAAGAGTAAATAAGAAATTATGTGTTTTATGATGTCAGTAGTTTATTTAATTATAATTTACAATTTATATCTCACATTTATCTTAATTCCAACTTTCTCGATCTTCCCGGAAAGTTATATTCAACCTCCCGACATTTACTTTTACAGATATGTTTTTTTTAGTGCTTTATCATGCTCAAAGAATTAACACAAGCTCCCCATCCTGATCACCGCGTTGTTGATGTGGGCATAATACGTTCTCACGTCTGTCACTATTTTACTTAGATATATTTGTCTAATTTATTATCTTCTCAGTTACACCTATTAGATAGAGGAGACAAGTATTAATTTGAGGACTACTAATACCCTACTTAATAATAGGACAATTATTCACTTCCCAAGGTATAGTTTAGGTATATATATATGTGTGTGATATAATAACATTAAGAGTAAAAAGAACAGTAAGTTAAAATTTGCAAGAATTTCAACATTAGCCTACTGTCACTTCTTTCTGACACCTTTAAACTACTCGTAAGACAAATATTAATGCTAAATACCGTGAAACGAATAGGTCTGAACTAATTAAAATGTATCTGAATGAACTGTAGCAACGACAACAAACTTCCGACACTGAGCATCATAACATTATACATATAAAGCAGAAAATGAGAAGTTTAAAAGTTAGATAATAAAGATAGAAACAAAACGACATTTATTATCCGGATAATAATAATAAAAACTTTATTTCAGCCAACGTTTCGCCATTGCGGCTTCATCATGCTAATACTGTTTGTAATAGTTACAAGAACTGTTTCTTGTTCTACTTGTCCCGGCATTGGCAGGTGGTTAGGGAGTCTACTCGCAATCTGCGGGTCGCGGGTTCGAATCCCCGTTCCACCAAACTTGCTCGCCTTTTCAGCCGTGGGGCGTTATAATGTGACGGTCAATCCCACTATTCGTTGGTAAAAGAGTAGCCCAAGAGTTGGCGGTGGGTGGTGATGACAAGCTGCCTTCCCTCTAGTCTTACACTGCTAAATTAGGGACGGCTAGCGCAGATAG